GGGCGGACCCAGCCAGCTTAAAACTCTGCTGAGTGGCGGCGGCCTGCTCTGTAGTGGCTGTTAAGCGCGGAGCATGGAGGAGTGTGCTTGCCTCTGCGGCCTGGGCTCTTCGCGGGGATGTCGGTGTCCTCAGAAGTGCCAGCGCCCAGCTGAGATGGCAGCGGCGGAAGGCAAGCAGTGTCTTCAGGAGTGCCAGGGCCCAGCTGAGAAGGCCACGCCCGAGGGCAAGCCGGCCACAGCAGAAAAGCACCTCGAGGCGGACTCCGCAGCGGGGTGCTGTGCGAGGAGTGGAGGAATCGCGAGCCCCATGCCGCCCCCCGCACTGCTCGCTGCAGGACCTGCCTGTGGAGATGCTGGTGGAGATCTTCGCCTCGCTCCCCGGCACCGACCTGGCCAGCCTGGCCCAGGCCTGCACCAAATTCCACCACATCCTGCACACCGACAGCATCTGGAGACGCCGCTGCCGGGAGGAGTTTGGCGTTTGTGAAAACTTGCAGAACCTGGGGATGATCGGTATGTCTTATCGAGAAGTCTATGCGAAGATGTTCTCATACAGAAACATTTTGGGATTGTGGCAGCTAGATGATAGCTATGGAAGACTGCTGAATGTAGTGGTGGACGGCTTAGGCATTACTGGTTGGACGTGCAGGCCTTCCAAGAACACCCATGTGTATGGCCCACTGCAATCCGAGCCCTCGTTTAGAATTCGCCTGACCGAGAGGAAATCAGCCACGGTGGATTACATGGATAACATCTATAGCTTTTACTACAGCCGCCACATGCAGATTCAGAAGGACAGGTTCAGCATCCAGTGGATCAAGAGAGACCACCAAAAGGATTCACCAACGCGGCTTAGGGGAGAACGGGTTCTGGTGCTGTTGGAGAAGGACAGACGGCTGTATGACTGCCTGACCTCATACCGCCGCGTGATGCTGTCGCAGGAGGACAGACAGCCACATCGCTGCCTGACCTACCGCCGCATCTACCTCCCGCCGAGCCACCGGGACGACCTCATCAGGCCAGGCCTCTTCCACGGCAAATACGATGGCTTCGGCCCTATGATTGCCATGCTCAGCTTCCATGGGAAGTATGCCAGGGTCACCAAGATCACGGGAGACTCCATGGGGACGTTAGAGATCCACCTCAAGCGCCGCATCCAGCTGCCAGCTGGCGAGATCTTCCCCAACTTCAACGAGCTCTCCCGCGTGGTCCAGGAGATTGACGAGCAGGTGATCTGGGAGCAGCAGCAGCAAGAAAAAGGGACTGAGGAAAGCGAGGGCCATGGCTGGCAGAGCCCTGCCCAGTCCAGCGTCGGGGAGTCCAGGGCTGAAGCTTCGGAGGAGCAGCCTGTTCCGTTTGTTCTGCCAGTGGGCGTGCACTCAAGACTCCACAACTACCCCCAAACCTACAGGATGTGTTTCTATGGCGTTTACATTGGTACCTTAGATCCCTTCACCTACCCCAGGCGCTTCCCTGGAGTCTTCATCCTGTTCGATGAGAACCACTTGGGGTTCATCGATCTGGAGATGAAAAACTTAATCCTGTTTGGCAGAGTCCAGAACACCTTCCAGAATGTGGAGGCACCATCTCCACAGGACTTCCTGGAGATGCTCTCGAAAATCAAATAAATATCAAAATAGAAGTCTTTATTTTACTATGGTTGCAAATATCAAAAAATTCTATATATGACACGGCACCAGGGTTAAGTTAGGGTTTTTCAAAATGCTGGCACGCCGAGCTCAAAAGATTCGCCATCACTGGTGTAGGGGGACCCAAAAAAGCTCAGGTATATTTCTTCTCCCAGCAGGAACCTCTCTTCCCAGGTGTGTGCACCTGATATTGAGAGTTCTGTCCCAATTCCCCGCTTCCCAACCCGTCCTACTCTGTATTGAGGAGGAGGAGGGGGAAGGAAGGAAGAAGTAAAGCAATAAAAAGGGTCAAGGAGAAGAGCCCTTCAATGTACATTGATGCCAAAGACTTCTGTTGAGAAGTACTCTGTCCTGCCACCTAGGAATGAACAAAGCTCAGCTGGAGTCTTGAGTCAGAGGTGTCCCCGAGGAAGATGAGCTGGAGCTGCTGGCATCTTCATTGCTACTGCTGGAGTCTGAGGAGCTGCTGGCATCTTCATTGCTACTGCTGGAGTCTGAGGAGCTGCTGCTTTCTGGCTTTCCCCCATGTTCCTTCTTTTCTTCAGATCCCCGTGAGGAATGAGAACAGTCCCCATTTGTCTCTGAAGACGCCTTCCCAGGAGCCTGTGGCCCCTGCTGTTTAAAATAGCCCACAGCCTTAGTGCCAAATCACTAGCTATGCTTTATGGAGATAATGTATCCGTTAGATAAGCTTCCTTAAGGAATGAGCTCTATTGCTATTGGCAATGAATTCAATGTTAATAAATAAACAATATATATTAACTGGGATGTCTTTAAATAGAAACACACATAGAGCGGGATGAGGTACTGACTGATGGATGGGCAATCTGTGGCCGGGGGCTGGAGGGCGGCTGGCTCTGCCTTTTGGCCGAGGATGGTGTTTTTGTGCTTGCTGGTGCGTGGAGTGTTTCTGCTATATTGTGGAACATGAGGGGAATTTGCTGTAGGCATGTAGTATCTGTCATTTTAGTCAGAAAGTAATTTGTTTTTAGAATGCCATGAAAAATTTATACTTACAGATAATAAAAGTAATAGATTATGCAATAGAAATATGAAAAAAAAGAATTCAAAGTAACGTATACATTGATTAAAATAAAATTACTCCAAGAGGGATCTGAGTTTCCATTGCCACCTGGCAGCAACATGGCAGCAAAAGGTGGAGCGAAGAAATGCTAGTTGGCACTGTACCCGCCTGTCCTTGGTGTGGAGCTGAAATGACGCCTTCACCCAGTGGCAACAAGGCCATGGAGCTGGTTCTCCATTTTCACTGGGGTGGTAGCAACAGAGCCCCAAAGCGAGCTGAACATACACTCCCCCTGGACCTGCATGCTACACCCAAATGGTGTGAATGCTTGTTAAAAAGAACAAAGACCCACAGTCTCACACCAGAATACCCAAACTGTCCAGGAAACAATAGAAAATTACATATCATCCCAAGAACCACACAATCACAAGTTGAATGAGAAAAGACAATCATGCCAACAAGATTACTCAGATGTTGGAATTATCTGATAAGGATTTTAAAAGCAGCCATTGTACAAAATGCTTCAATGGGCCATTATGAACACTAATACTTATTAGTAAAGCTAAAATATAAAAGATTGACATTCCCAAGTGTGGGTGAGAATATATAGGAACTAGAAGTCCTATCCAGTGATGGTGGGAATATAAAATGATACAGTTAGTTTGGAGAGTAGTTTGGCAGTTTCTTAACAAGTTACTCATATGTATTCACCTGCCATCTGATCTAGCCATTTCACATTAAGGCAGCGGTTCTCAACCTTTGGGGGTCGAACGGCTCTTTCACAGGGGTCGCCTAAGACCATCGGAAAACACATATATAATTACATATTGTTTTTGTGATTAATCACTATGCTTTAATTATGTTCAATTTGTAACAATGAAATTGGGGGTCACCACAACATGAGGAAGTGTATTAAAGGGTCGCGGCATTAGGAAGGTTGAGAACCACTGCATTAAGGTATTATTTACTCAAGAGAAATGAAAGCATATCCCCATATAAAGACTTGTGCACAGCCTTTGCTGGTTTGGCTCAGTGGAGAGAGCAACAACGGCCTGTAGACTGAAGGGTCCGGGGTTCAATTCCAGTCAAGGGCACATGCCTGGGTTGCGGGCTTGAACCCCTGTAGGGGGCGTGCAGGATGCATCCAATCAATGATTCTCTCTCATCATTGGCATTTCTATCTCTCTCCCTCTCCCTCTCTGAAATAATAATAATAATAAAGACTTGTGCTCAAATATTCATAGCCACTTTTACTTGTAATAGCTAAAAATTGGAAACAACCCAAACGTCCATTAACAGATGAATGGATAAACAAATAATGGTATATGCATATAATGGAATACTTCATAGCACTAAATAAGGAACAAACTATTGCCACACTCAGAAATGTGGATCAATATCAAAATTAATTATGTTGTATGAAAGGAGCCACACACAAAAAAGGGTATACATTGTATGGCTCTACTTAAATTAAGTTCTAGCAAATGCAAACTAAGCTGAAAAGTCAGAAAGCAGGTGTGTGGTTGCCTGGGGAAGAGGAAGGGTAGAAGGCAAGGATTAGCAAGGGCCACCAGAAAAGTTTTCTGCCACATGGATATGTTAATTATCTTTTCTGTGGAGGTTGTTTTCCAGGTGTACATATATGTTATAACTTACTAAATTGTACACTTTAAATATATTCTATTTATGACTTGTCAATTACACCTCAATGTTTAAAATAAAGAACCTCAAATTCGTTCTAGTGACTGGGGATGACACTATGGCAAATTTCTAAACTTTTTAAAAATGTCTAAACTTCTAGGAAGACAAGAATGCATCTGAACTACCTGAGATCAGAGATAATATGCTTAGGTGGACTGTCCTCAAAAAACATGGTAAGCAGGAGCCGCAACTAGTCTGTTGCTAACTTTACAATTGGGCTCACAGAGAATATGACCACTGAATAGTGGGCCCAGTCCAGCTGTCATTCAGGCTAGCTTTTCGGTTCTACCTTCCCACTCCTCAGGCATCTTCGAGACTTGTAGTAACTTCGTATTAGCTACTGGCTGCTTGGAAATAATTTCATTTAAAATAACTGATAGAGATGTTGTGTTTGTTTTTCTTTTCTAAATGGGAGGTTATTCACACATCCTGTGACAATCTTCTGTTCTCCATTCATCTTGACTGTTTAGAGAAACGGTGCACATGGAAGGTTTGGGCTTGTGTTAATTTAACTCGGGAGAGGCTGAGGAAACAACACACATTCCACAGAAGTCACTTGGGTTTTAGGTAATAGGAGAACCACAGCTTTACCAGGAGTCCTACCCTGTCCCCGCAGGGCCACTCACAGGGCACGGTGTCACGCAGATACTCCCACCACTGCCGCAGCGTGGAGTCCCCCATCATGTGGATGACGTGACCAGCCAGGCAGCCCAGGATGCTGTCAACAGTGGGAAAGGAGCGGCTGGCGCAGGACAGCGAGTGCCACACATGCCCGTGGTAGAAGCCAGAGGGCTTGGTGGCAGGGAGCCCAGGACTGCATGGGGGTCGAGAGGGGAGGGCTATAGAAAAGGAAAAACCAGAACACAACTAACATTTATTATTATAAAATTCTGGGCTCTCTTCTATGTGCTTTACATACATCATTCCATTTACTTTTTTGCAAAAGTCCATGAAGTACTATTCACGGAGGCCCTGAATTGTTAAGCAATTTACCTATGGTCAAGAATAGTGACGGGCAGAGCTAGATTTTTACCCAAGAAGTCTGACTTTACAGCACAGATTACTAACCATTATGCATACTGCCCTGGCAGGAGGACTGGGGCTCAACTCCCAGTCAAGGACTAAAACCCCCTACGTCTATTCCCCACCCGACACCTGCCCGGTCCCCAGCAAATGCCAGCCCCACTCACCCAGGCTGCTGTTTCCTGGGGCTGCCCTTCTGATTTGGATTGGAGAAATGCCCCGAGGGAGCACCTTGTCTGTCACTTGCCTGGAGAAACACCAAGAGTGAGCATTGAGGGGGCTGAGCAGGTGAACACTGGAATCCAGTATAGGGATATGATGGTTGACTTATAATTTCTACTCTGCCTAAGTCCTAAAAGAGTTTGAGGTAGCTACAATACAATGAGCGCTTTTATAATGAAGCAATTACAATCAAGAATCAGAAAAAAGGGATGGAAGAAAGAGAAAATCTTATCAGGAACCTGGACTTCCTGCAATCAACCTACCCATGAGCTCTGTTTACTAACAGGCCAGGCAATAAAAGAACATCCAAGCTGTAGTTCTTCTCTGATAAAGAAGGGTACACAGCCAGGAGAAAGAAACTCTCTCTTCCTAGCACTACATTCTGGAAGGAACATGAGCAGAATAATTTTTGTTACAAAAAACTCAGACAGTGGAGATCATAATCCCTCACTGCTTAAGTGTGGGCTGTTCCTAGCGTTGCCCGAAGGACACAGTGTGGAAGGAGGGGGTGTGCGAGAGTAGTTTTGTGGTGGAAAACACTGCCCAGCCAGGTTAAAATCAACACTCACAAATCACTTGGGTAGCATGTACACTTGATATAATGTGATGAAAATGCAACCTGATCTCTGTGACCTTCTTCCTCAAAACCATAACCCACCTCTAATCATAAGAAAAACATCAGACAAATCTCAATAGAGAGGAATACTACAATATAATTAACCGATACTCCTCAAAACTGTCAAAGTCATCAAAAATAAGAAAAGTATAAGAATCTGTCACAACCAAGAACCTTGACGACTAAATGTAATGCAGGATTCTGGATGGGATTCTGGAACAGAAAAAGGACATTAGATTAAAATAGCAATGTTTTCCCTGGCCGGTTTGGCTCAGTGGATAGAGCGTCAGCCTGTGGACTGAAGGGTCCCAGGATCGATTCCAGTCAAGGGCACATGCCTGGGACGCAGGCTCGATCCCCACTAGGGGATGTGCAGGAGGCGGCTGATCCATGATTCTCTTTCATTGATGATGTTTCTAACTCTCTCCCTCCCTCCCTCCCTCTCCCTTCCTCTCTGAAATCAATAAAAATATATTTAAAAAATAAAATAAAATAGCAATGTTTAAACTTCTTTCATCTCATGACAGACACAAATTAATTACTACAATTCTGTGACACACCAAAAAATGCTATTTTTTTTTTTGCTGGTCTGACAAAAAAAAAAAAAAAAGGTATAATTTTGATTCATTCACCATTGAAAAATCACTGGGTTAAAACTAAAGAAACCTAAATAGACTATGGACTTAATAATAATGTATCAATATTGGTTCATGAATTGCAACAAACATACCACACTAATATAAAATGTTAATAATAGGAGAAATTATGGGGGAAAGCAGATAGGGGAATCTCTGTATTATCTGCTCTATTTCTTTGTAAATCTAAAACAGTTATAATTCATAAAGTCTAGTAGTAAAAAAATTCCACAGAGAAACAAAAATATTTGTCTACAAAAGTCTTATGCCCCAATATTAACAGCAGTTTGATTCATAATTGCTAAAAGTGGAAACAACCCAAATGTTCAAGAGGTGAATGGATAAATAAACTGTAGTATATCTGTACAATAGAACACCGTTCATCACTAAAAAAGAGAAAATTACTGATATGCAACAACATGGATGAATCTCAAAAGCATGTTACTGAGTGAAAGAAGCCAGATACAAGAGTACAAACTGTATGATTACATTTTTATGCAATTCTAGAAAAGGCAAAACTTTTTTTTTTCAGAAAGCAAATCAGTGCTTGCCTGGGGCTGGAGGTGGATGAGGAGAATTGACTGTAAAGGGACACAGGGAATCTTTAGAAGTGGTGGAAATGTTCTATTTCTTGATTGTGGTGACAGTTAATGGGTATAAACATTTATTAAAACTCAGTGGATAGAGTGTAGGATGCAGGCTCCTCCCTGGCCCGGGGCCCTGGTCGGGGCTTAGGCAGGAGGTAATCAATTGATGTGTTTCTCTCACATCAATATTTCTCTCTGTCTTTCCCCCTCTCTTCCACTCTCTTTAAAAATCAATAGAAAAAATCCTTGGTTGAGGATTAAAAACAGAACAAAACAAAAAATCTCATTGACCTGCACATTTCAAACAAGACTATTTCTTTTTTAAAAAAAATATATTTCTTTATTGATTTCAGAGAGGAAGGGAGAGGGGAGAGAGAGAAACATCCATGATGAGAGAGAATCATTGATTGGCTGCCTCCTGCATGCCCCCTACTGAGGATTGAGCCTGCAACCCAGGCATGTGCCCTTGGCCAGAATCGAACCTGGGACCCTTCAGTCCGCAGGCTGACGCTCTATCCACTGAGCCACGCCGGCTAGGGCCAAACAAGACTATTTCATTGTATATAAATTATACTGTAATAAAGCAGATTAAAGTTTTAAAAAATTTTCACCAAAACAAAAACTCAGACAATCCTGTATAATAAAGAGCTAATATGCAAATGGCCATCACACCCTCACACCCTTGTGCCGGAACTGCTCAGACACTCAACACTGGAGAGAGAGGAATGGGTCCAGCCAGGCTGCGGCCCCGGAGAGGGACAAGCCGCCTGCCCTGCTGTCCTGGGCACCTGCAGCTGCGGGTCGGGCGAAGCCAAGCGCCCATGGTCCCCTGTGGCTGCAGTGGGCCCAGGCGAAGCTGGCCTGGGTCCTGGGTGCCTGCGACTAGCTGGTGGAGGGAATCTTGGGTCCCAGGTGCAGGGCAAGGCAGAGGCGGTTAGGGGCGATCAGGCAGGCAGAGGTGGTTAAAGGCAATCAGACAGGCAGAGGGGTTAGAGGCGATCAGGCAGGCAGGCAGAGGGGTTAGGGATATAATCAGGCAGGCAGGCAGAGGGGTTAGGGGTGATCAGGCAGGCAGGCAGAGGGGTTAGGGGGGATCAGGCAGGCAGGCAGGCAAGCAGTTAGGAGCCAGCGGGTCCCAGATTTCGAGAGGCAGTCCGACATACCCCGAGGGGTCCCAGATTAGAGAGGGTGCAGGCCAGGCTGCACCCCCCCCCCCTTCCCGGTGCATGAAATTCATGCACTGGGCCGCTAGTAGGAATATAAGTTGCTGAGGAGGCAATAATGAAATAAGTAGCTATTCAATAAGAGTAAATATTTGAGTGTATGAACTGATGGACGACAGTTCCAGTGAGGCTGGAAATGCTATTGGGCAATCTTTTTGTGTGTTTCCACCATTCCCCAAGTGTAGGACATTTGAGATTGGGAGGAGCATCTTTCTTCCTTCACTTCCCAGGCCCGGGAGAGAGGGATGGGGCAGCACCTCCTAATCAACAGGAGCCTTCTTAATATTCACTTCTTTGTCAGGAGATATGTCAGTCTCTGCACCCATCCTCACTTCCTGCTCTCTCTACTCTGGAGATCTGACACATCTATCTCTACTGCTACCTCCTTCCGCATCTTTTAGATTGTGCCCCCTTTTCTCTCTCAGAATATAAACATAATCACATCTGCTCCACTGAGTAAACTGCCTCTTCCATGACCTCTTCCTATAGCTACAACTCTGTCAGGTTCCTTTCCTTCACAGGACAACTTCTTGAACGACTCATCTGCCCTTGTTATCTGCCTTATTTTCCTACCTCCTATGCACATTTTAAAATTTCCTTTTTTGTGTACACAACATCCAGCTCTACAGGATCTTAACGTTTTGCCAGGTTTGAATTAGATCTTTCTTTAGAAATGAATAGATCAACAGATAAAATTAGAAATAATGTTAAAACTAAATGTTGGGGAGGGTGCAGAGAAACTGGACCTCTCAGACATTGCTGACGGGATTGTAAATGGTAAGGCCACTCTGGACAATAATTTGGTAGTTTCTTATAAAACTAAATATCCACTAATTGTACAACCCAGCAATCACATACAGGCAGCTATTCCAGAGAAATGAATAAAAACCTATGTATGAATATTCATGGAAACTTTACTCATAATAGTAAAAAACTGGAAATAACCCAAATGTCCTACAATGGGAGAATGGTTAAACAAACGTATACAATGGAATACTAGGCAGCAAGGAAAATGAATGAGTTATTGATACATATAACAACTATTTTCTATTGTAAGTACTAATTCTGTATTAATTATGTATGTTACAGATATAATCGTCCAGTCTATATCTTGACTTAAACTATGTTTATGGGACATTTTGTAATGGAGAAATTTTTGATTTATATAACACCTAATTTATAAATATTTTTTATGATTTGTGCCTTTTATTATATCTTAAATAATATTTTCCTGACCCAAAATAAAAACAATATTTTCTTTTTGAAGTTTTCCTTTTTTTTTTTTTTTTACATTTAGGTCTTTAATTTTCCTAACATTGATTTTTATGTATATACTCTAGAGTTCAAATAGAATTATATTCTTTTCTATTTATTTACTATTCAACATATTCTCCATTGGTTTGAATACCTATTATGTTTAGGTAAAGTTAGTTATCTTCATGGATTTAGTCTATTTTATGATTTATTTAACTGTGCCTAAACAAATGAAACTGTGCCACATTTCATGTCAAGAGACCTACCTACAATTATTTCACACAAAATGTTAAAATATAAAGAGAAGAAAAAATATATACTATGAAAACACTAAACAAATGAGAATTGTTATAATATTCAGAGTATCAAAATTAGAACTTAAGACTAAAAGCAAGAAAGTAACATGAGTAATTTACCATTAACATAAGACAATCACAAAGTTGAATATACTTAACAACATAACCTTGAAAAGTATAGATTGAAAACAGCCTGAATCACAGAGAAACAGTCAAATCTACAAACACAGTATGATACACTTATGTCTAAGCTAATAGATTGAGCACGCAGAAAAATTAGTGAAGATATACATGTTTGGAATAAAAATGTCAACAATCTAAATCAAATAGGTTCAGAATTCCATTCTGGAGAAATAGAGAATACAAATTATTTTATTTATTTTTAAAAATATATTTGTATTGATTTCAGAGAGGAAGGAAGAGGGAGAGAGAGATAGTAACATCAATGATGAGCGAGAACCATTGATCGGCCACCTCCTGCATCCCACAACCTAGGCATGTGCCCTGACCGGGAATTGAACTGTAGCCTTCTGGTTCATAGATCGATGCCCAATCACTGAGCCACACTGGCTGGGCGAGAATACAAACTATTTTTTAAGAAAATATAGCCCTAACCGGTTTGGCTCAGTGGATAGAGCATCGGCCTACGGACTGAAGGGTCCCAGGTTTGATTCCGGTCAAGGGCATGTACCTTGGTTGCGGCACATCCCCAATGGAGGGTGTGCAGGAGGCAGCTGATCGATGTTTCTCTCTCATCGATGTTTCTAACTCTCTATCCTTCTCCCTTCCTCTCTGTAAAAAAAAAAAAAATCAATAAAATATATTAAGAAAAGAAACTAAACATAATTCCTAAGTAATTCATGAATTAAAGAGAAAATTACTGTGTAAATTACAATACATGTGAACATGAATAAAAATGAAGTTTCCATATATAAAAATTTGAAGAATATAGGCTAAAGCTGTACCCTGAAGGAAATTTATAACCTTAACTATTTTTATCCCATATAAGGAAGATTGATAGATTTGTGAATTGTTCTGAATCATGAAATTAGAAAAAAAAGAAATAAGGGCTTATAATGAGGTATTCCACATATGCTTGCATAAGAGGCTGTTCCCACTGGGCGCTATCACAGTTACTCCTCACCAGATTCCATCCCACTCTGCTCGAGGCTGCTGGATGCTCCAGCAGGCCTGCCTCAATTTTCTGCTTAACACAGGGCTGCTTGCCTAAAAATCTACGATTTCAATAGGCATAATACTGTCTCTGTTGGTTATTACCACTGATAGGAGTATCTTTTCATATTAATAAATGTAATTGTATAAAATAAAAAAGAAATAAATCCTGAAATAAATCAAAGGAACACATATCAAAGATATAGTAGGAACAAATAAAATAGAATGGAGATTCATTTTTCTGATAATATGGCAGAACCAAATATTCACACGAACCCTTACACTGAGAACCACTAAAAATTCTGAACAAAAAAAAAATTTTTAATGTTTAAAAAAAATAGATTTTTAAATAATTGAAGATCTAACAAAAGAAGGAATTTTTATGTATTTATTTATTTTTAGATGAAAATCTAAGTGCAGGCAGGAATTTAAATAAATAAATGAGGCACTCAAGACACTTTTGCCCTGAGGTCATTTGCTCTGCCTTGAACATCTTATCTCTTATCTTTCTGGAGAATTCCTATTTTTTTCTTTAAACCCCAGATCAATTGTAACCTTCCTTAAATGGATAGCCTGACCAGTTCCTTGTGGTACATATCTGTTTAGAAATGTCTGTCATATAATAGGCGCGCAACAGGCAGCTGTTGAATGAGAGTATAAATAAAGGAGTGGTATACTAGTAAACTGGGGAGGGTCATTGTGTCCCAGGGACAATATTTAGAAAGAAGGATGTGGCTTCCTGTTGGTACAAGCTTCCCTACCCTTTCTTTCCTTACCGTGCCAGCAGGGCCTCATCACGTAGAGTAGTTACATTCAGGTAACTTCCACTTGAGTGCCCAACTAAAGAGCTGCAGGGCAGTGTAGAGGGCTGAGCACAGAACCAGACTTCCCCCGAATCCGTATTTCTGTACTGGCAGGTAGGCCCTCTTGTTCCAATGGACAGAGGGTCAACATTGCAAATCACAGTCTCTTCAATGCCTGTGGGTCCCCGGAAATACCCTCTAAAATCAACAGTGGCTCTTTTCTCTCTCCAGATTCTTCGCAGAACCCCGACTGCCTCGCTGGAATGGATCAGCCGCACTTGCACCTGGGCCTGCCCAGCCCAAAGAAGGGGGAAGGACAGCAGGTATGTGCCGTTCTCCAGATCCTGGACATCCCCGGGGGCCCCTGCCTTCAAGTCAGGACCCAGCAGCTGTGCCCGAAACAGATCCCCACCGTGGGTCTTGGGCCTGCCCCTATGGTCTCTGGCCACAAGGATGGCCTCCAGGTAGCCTCCCAGGGCATAGCTGGCCTGCGCAGGACCCCTCAGGTAGTAGGTGGAGTTCTGGGGGCTGGTGGAAGCCAATAGGTCCTTTTCTTCTCCTGGGCTTGAAGGCCAGTACAAAAGATGGGTCAGGTTGCCAAACTCCTGGGAGACAGACTCCAAGAGGGAGGGCTTGGGGACAGGTTTAGAGGCACAGCAAGGTGCTGGGGGCCGAGGGATGGTGCTGTCAGGCCAGGGCATCTTGAAGTAGAAGATCTGTGGGTGGAGAAAGGAGAATCTATCAATGGTTTATGTTTTCTTCACTTTCCTTCAGGAAGGAGATTTCCACTCAGCAAAACCAGTCCCCTCTGCCAGGAGTCCTATCCTGCCTGCGCCAAGCTGTCTGTCATTCACTAGCCTCGTCAGTGTCTGAGTCATTATCCAGTTAGTTAAAAGGAGCACCTCCTGTGAAGATGAAGTTATATCCCTGGATCTCAACTGTATCCTTATCTCAGCCTTATTCCCTCCACTACCACCCTCATCCCCACGCAACATGCACAGAGATACGTGCAGGCCTACATCTAATTGTCGTATCTCTTGTTTACCACCCAGAACCTGGCATTCTGATGAAGTGTCCTCTTTTTTCTTCCTATTCCCTCTCTCTACCATCTCACCCCCACCATCTCCAAACTAGATTTCCAACAGAGAACTGGGGGTGGGCAAGTCCATTACTCAGTGCTGTTGAGGGTTTAAAAAGCATGAGGTTAGACTAGCTGTGGGCAAACTACGGCCCGTTTGAAATGAATAAAACTATTGAAAAAAAAGGCTGTACCCTTTTATGTAATGACTAGAGGCCCGGTGCACAAAAATTTGTGCACTCGGGGGGAACGGGGGTCCCTCAGCCTGGCCTGTGCCCTCTCGCAGTCTGGGACCCCTCGGGAGATAACGACCTGCTGGCTTAGGCCTGCTCCCGGGTGGCAGAGGGCAGGCCCAATCCCTAGGTGCAGCCCCTGGTCGGGCTCAGAGCAGGGCTGATTGGGGAGTTGGGGCGCCGCCCCCTGTCACACTCAAGGCAGGGTCGATGGGGTGGTTGCGGCGCCACCCCCTGTCATGCACAGAGCAGGGCCAATCAGGGGGTTGGGGCGCTGCCCCCTGTCACACACAGAGCAGGGCCAATCAGGGGGGTTGGGGCTCCTTACCCTGTCACGCACGGAGCAGTGCCCATCAGGGGGGTTGGGGAGCTCCCCCCTGTCACGCACAGAGCAGGGCCCATCAGGGGGTTGGGGAGCTCCCCCCTGTCATGCACAGAGCAGGGCCCATCAGGGGGTTGAGGAGCTCCCCCCTGTCACTCAGAGAGTAGGGCCGATAGGGGAGTTGGGGCGCCGCGCCCTGTCACACACAGAGCAGGGCGGATCAGAGGTTGGGGAGCTCCCCCGTATCAGGCACAGAGCAGGGCTGGTCAGGAGGTTGTGGCCCCACCCCCTGTCACACACAGAGCTGCAGGGCGATCAGGGGGTTTGGGCGCTGCCCCCTGTCATGCTGATCCCGGTGCCAGGAGGCCTCTCAGCTCCGCTGATCCTGGTGCTGGGAGGCATATTACCCTTTTACTATATAGGGTAGAGGCCTGGTGCATGGGTGGGGCTGGCTGGTTTGCCCTGAAGGGTGTCCTGGATCAGGGTGGGGGTCCCCACTGGGATGCCTGGCCAGCCTGGGTGAGGGGATGATGGCTGTTTGCAGCTGGTCACAGACCCTTCAGTGTGAGGGTCTCCACTGGGGTGCCTGGCCAGTCTGGGTGAGGGGCTGAGGGCTGTTTTCAGGCTGGTGGGTGACGGAAGCTCCCAACTGCTCCTTTTTCTCTTTTTTCTTTTTTTAATTCTGGGCCAGCTTTAGCTCTGAGGCTCCAGCTCTTAGGCCTCCGCTGCTGAAAGTAGGTATCTGGTTTGTTTCGGTTCGAAACAATGTATAAATCCAGCTCTGACTCCAGCTCTGAGATCCCAGCTCACTGAAAGCTGGTTTCTGGGGGTTTTTTTTAGCTTCTATATTTGTTAAAATGTTTCAAACTGAAGGCTCAGAGGCCTGCAAGGCAGGCGGGGAACGTTGGTTTCCTCCGTCACTGAAGCAAGCAAGCCTCATGTTAGTTTCAAGCTGCCTGGCTGCCTGCTGCCATCTTGGCTGGCAGTTAATTTGCATATTGCCCTGATTAGCCAATGGGAAGGGTAGCGGTCGTACGCCAATTACCATGTTTCTCTTTTATTAGATAGGATGTTTACTTTGAATTTATATTAGTTCACACAAACACTCCATCCATGCTTTTGTTCCGGCCCTCCGGTCCAGTTTAAGAACCCATTGTGGCCCTCGAGTCAAAAAGTTTGCCCACCCCTGGTTAGACCATTTCTTAGGGAGCTCCCGCTCTAATTGGGCTCAGTGGACAAAAGAAGCAATTTGACCTCAGAAACTATTGGAAAAGTAAGAGGCTGTAGAAAGGCAGAGACAGAGGTGATGGCTGGAAAAAGAACCGATATATGGCAGGTTCTTTTCTAGGAAGACATGGTGTTTGCTATGACAAAAGAGTCTCCTCCGGGGGCCCAGCGCTCTCTGGTATCATATCCCATGAAACACAAAGTCACAAATACAGACCAGGAAGAGCAGTAGAGGGAGGCCTTGTGTTGTGTGGTGGATATGAGAGTGGGCCTATATGCCTGACCTATCAGATACTTACCTACACCCACCAATAGTCCCTTCTATTCAAGCAAGTGTGATTCAGAAAAGAAGCAATCAGTGACACATCTCAAATTCCATGGCAGCATATGGAGGGTGTGTTTGAGGCTGAAATCTCTGTTTTGATTGCTGGAGGAGAAAACACTCACAGGACTGGCTCCTCGCCGGGCTGGAGAGAAGCAGGGTTCAACATCATAGAATCTGGGCTCAGATGCAGTATTATGTGGTTTCTTGGAATGCTTAGCCCACACAGGCCAGTGGTGCCTTGGAGGAAAGTATACCTGGCAAGGTGTCTGGTCCTGATGGGGCCTGTTTACAGACCCTCATCCTGGGCTGGGAGAATATCAGGGGAGCACTGAATTGGCAGATCACAAGTCAGAATGGCTTCTTGTCCATCTTAACAAAGGGCAGAAAACGTGCCGGTGAACATGTCTTATATTCTCAGAGGCAGAGACTGTTTTGCCTCCTGTTGCTTGCAGCTTTGCCACCACACAAAGTGTCCTGAAAATCTGAACTGACCAGCAAGAGTGGCCAAGCGTTCTGTTACGGCAAATTTGAACAGAGTTGAGAAAGACCAAAAGTATCAATTCAACATGAAAAGAATTATTAGTTGGGGGAGGTTACATGAAAAGAATGATTAGTTGCTTGTTTTGTTATTCCTATGTCATATGCACATTATATATATTCTTTGGCATGTGAAAAATATTTCATAATAAAAACAAAAATTGTAAAAAATTCTCTGCTTAATTTCTTTTTAACCAAAAAGGAACTATAAAAATAAAAATACAATCTGTCTAGGTAGAAATAAAAGAGAAATCTTCAGAAGTAACATCTTTAAGGTGGCGACTAGAAAACCCTGAATCCTCTTTCTCCCATGAATTCACAGATTCAGCAACAATTCAGTCACTGAAAGGCTTTTATACCAGGTGAACAGGAAAACAAACTTACCAAAAGTGGTAAGGAGATTCAGGACACCCCTGGTATACTGTAATATGGTCAGGAAGAGAACCCCAGCTCCCAGCTTCTATCAGCTCTAGTGTCCCAACTTTTCTGTAAGGGTCTTCAGTGAACTGGTTTCTGGCCTGCCAGTTTGCAATGCTGATTAGACCAGCACAACCTAGCTGCCTGGGAGAGAACAAGGACTACTAGCTTAAGCTGGTAGTCACCATAGCTCCTTCCCCCTGGCTCAGCATGGCTCTCTATGCTGGTGGAAGAAGCCAGTCACAGAAAGACAACTATTGCATGATTCCTTTTATAAGAAGAATCTAAAATTGTAAAATTTATGGAACTGAAGAATGGTGTTTGCCAGATGGCAGGGAGAGGAATAAATGGGGAGTTATTGATAGATCCTCCCTTCGCCCCAACTGGTGGGCGGAGTATGATGTAACCTGCAGCCTAGAAATACCTGAGAGACTAACCATGTACCTTATATGCACTATACATTGGACCACCAATCCACACCTGCCAAATACCCTAAGCCGTTGTTCCTATAAGGACCATACATTAAGCCACCAATCAGCGTGCGCCGAGTACACTAAGCCCCCATTCCTTCCCATTCTGTCCTGCAAAAGGCATGCTCACCTCTGCACATGCTGCTGTCCTCCAATTGGGAGATAGCCCGGCAGGTCTCTTTGCCTTAATAAGGCCTGTAATCCTGGTTTTTGGCTCCCAACTGTTCTCACAGTTATTAGTTAACAAGCGTAACATTTTAGTTAAGCAAGATAAACTCTACAGGTCTGTTGTACAACATTGTATCTAAAATACTGTATTGTATACTTTAAAAATTGTTAAGCAGGCAGATCTCATGTTAAGAGATAATAAATCTTATAATAATAAAATAAAATTAAAAATATTTCTTTTAGCCCTGACCGGTTTGGCTCAGTGGATAGAGCGTTGGCCTGCAGACTCAAGGGTCCCAGGTTCGATTCCAGTCAAGGGCATGTACCTCGGTTGTGGGCACATCCCCAGTGGGGGATGTGCAGGAGGCAGCTGATCGATGTTTCTCTCTCATCGATGTTTCTAACTCTCTATCCCTCTCCTTCCGCTCTGTAAAAAATCAATAAAATATATTTTTAAAAAAATATATTTCTTTTACTCAAAAGACACTATTAGAATGAAAAGCAGGCATGACACAGAGCTGGAGAAGATATTTGTACCATGCACAACAAATGAAGGAGCTTGTATTCAGAATCTCTAAAGAATTCCTATTCTGTCTAATAATAGACAAACATGGTAATTGACCGTACCTTCGCTACGCTTCCCATCAGCTAATCAGTGTGATATGCAAATTAACCGCCAACAAATATGGTGGCTAATTTGCATACTGCAGGCAGTGCAGGACAACGCAGCTGCCAGCGCGAGCCACCATCCCATGCCACAGGCTGGCCCCAGAAGCTGCCCCGAAGCCAGTGATCGAAGTGAGATGGGGGTCTCCTGCCCAGGCCTGACACCTCTGGTGGAGGCGTCAGGCCTGGGCAAGGGGCCGATCTGACAATTGGAGGGTGATGGGGGTCAACGCCTCTGGCTGAGGCATCAGGCCTGGGCAAGAGCAGAGCCGG